CCCTGCCTGTGTGTGAGCGTGTGCGTGTCCCTCTCCACCCCTGCCTGTGTGTGAGCGTGTGCGTGTCCCTCTCCACCCCTGCCTGTGTGTGAGCGCGGGCCCAGGGCTGGCGGGGCCTCACAGGAAAGGGGGGCTGTGGTGCTGCTCTGGCGGGGGGGCTTGTCCTGTGTGTGGGGGCAGGGCCGGCCCTCGGCTACAGACAGAGCCCTGGGGACCTGCAGTAGGGACATGCCCACATGTGCATTGGGGTGTGGGGTGCACACTTCCCAGGAGGGCTTTGTTCTCGAGCTCCCAGTTCTCACTTACACACCTGACACTGAAGTGCCTAGAACATCAGAAAGGAAATGTGACTCGTGAAACGGTGTAAAGACAGAGGACAGGCCCAAAGCAGGAGAGACCCTGCGTCCTTGGCTCTAGGATGTGACTCTGTGCCTGGCCATCGGCTGGCCCTGGTGAGCAGGGGTCCTGGGCTGAGTGGGAACCCAGGGACACAGGTCGGGGGTCCTAGGGGTGCAGGCTGGGGAGGGGAGACCACCAAGCTGGTTGTGAGCACAGGGATGGGGCCTCTATAGCACCAGACCTCCTGGGGGGGGGCCTGTTCCTACATTTATTCTGCAATTATCTCCTGAGACCCCACTGCAGGTGCTGAGATAACATGAGAGATGGAATGGCTTACTCTACACTGGACAGTGAGGTCCCGAACTAACAGCCCCGCCCTTGCGGTGGGGAGGAGCTAAGGGCTCTTCTCAGTGAAGCTTTTCCTCTTCATTTGCCTCTATGTACTGGAAGTTTCTCCTGCAGCCATTAGGGCCAGGCCCAGCCAGCAGGGAGACAGCCGGCCATGGGCACCTGCTCAGAAGACCCTCACCTGTGCAGGGCCTCCTGGCTCCTAGGATTCACCAGCCTCCTGCTCAGTGAGTGGCCCGGGCTCCCTGGGAGGGGGGCCGCTGGGTGGGCAGGGAGGCAGGAGCTCCTGGGCTGCCTGAGGGCTTTGCTGAAGAACCAGAGAACTCAGCTCCGTGATGATTGAGCACACGCAGTGCATTCGGTTTAGAGCCCCGGGGTGAACGGAAGGAACACAGGAGCTTTTGGCTGAGGCCAGGCTGGGAACCCTGAGCCCTGGCTGCCCGGCTGCATGAAGGGAACCCCTCCCAGGGGGTGAGGCCAGGAGAGCCCGGAGCCTCCTGGGGAGAAGGATGGAGGAGACATAGGAGGGGCTGCAGGGGACCCAGCGTTGGGGATGGGCACCCCCGCCTGCCATGCCCAGGGGCTCGGGCAGCCTCTGCAGCTGCTGTGTGCAGGAGGGCCGACCCAGAGCCCCCGTCTGAGCTGAGGAAGCCGCTCTAGTCCGGCTCCTTGGGCAAGATGAGGGCCTGAATGCAGTGACATTTTTTTGCAAAGGAAGGAAAGGAGCCTCCAGAATTCAAGGGTCTGCACCCACCTGCGTGTGTAAGGGTGAGCCCGGAACAGGAGACTGCTGATGGGGCTCCAGGTGGGGGTGACCTGGGCGGGACAGGAGGCAAGCAGAGGGGCCCCAAAGAGGGAACTGAAAGAAAGCTGGTCCTATCGGAAGACCGAAATTCCAGTTATTCTTTCATCTGAGACCATCTGCTTATGTGTAACAATTAAATAAGAACAAAAGAGAAAACACTAAGATCTCCAGAACTGTGAATTCTGAGGAGAGTATGGAAAGCTTTTATTGTCTGTAACGTTGGTTTGAGTGAAACACCCCTCTGTGAGCTGCAGGGATTCTAGGAAATTTCTGGACTCACAGGACATTTGTAAACAGGGTCTTTCCTCATTAGAAAATTAGATTTGCATGGCGTTGAGATCCGTTTAACAAGGTAACTTCCTGTCCGCATGTGTGCTTTCTCTACTTTTCAATTTTACTGAACTGGAAACATATTGGAAATTACATAGTTTCTTCCATAAACATCTAGGTTGGAAGATTGAGAAAGAAAGTAACCAAGGAAGGAAGGGAGATACGGAAGGAAAGAAGGAAAAGAGAGAAATGGAGAAAATGTTATGTTGGTGGTTCAGTCTTGAATTTCATCTTATTTAAATAATCTCTGACTCTCTTGCTCACTGCCCCCCCCCACCGCCCCTGACCCGCTGTCCCCCTTTGGGAGCAGCACCTTCTGCAGATCTGAGAGCTCTCGGGCCTTCCTCGCGTCCTGAGTGGGCGTCCAGCTTCCTCAGGCTCATGCTCTCGTCCAGCTTCTGGGCAGTTCCTCCCCGGCAGCCTGAGGGCTGAGCCTCCTCTCTCCCGGGTTCTCCCCTTTCCAGCAGGTGCTGGTTAACCCTCAGCTACCCCACGTCCCTGCCCTGCCAAAGCCCCCGAGTACTGCAGTCCCCTCTCCCGGGACAGTAGCTGGGGGGTGAGACCCAGAACTGCTCAGACCCCAGTGACCAGACAGCAGTGCTGGGAGGGAGGAGCCCTGCGCAGGGGGAGGGCAGGGGGAGGGCAGGGGAGGGCTGCAGGGCAGCTCCCTGCAGGGGAGGCACTGGGCTGGGGGAGAGGGAAGGCGGCTCCAGGTCCGGCTCTGCCCAGTGTGACCCGGGACAAGTTCCCCCCCGAGGGAGCCCGTCCTCTGTGAAAGGTCCCCTCGAAGGCCCTCCAGCTGTGACATCCTGGGATTGGGGGTCTCCCCCCGACGGGACTGTCCTGCCGCTTCCCCGAGGCCTCTGCTCTGTGTCTTCCTCCCGTTCTGTCCTTGTCCTGCGTCCTGACAGGGACTGACAGCTGGGGGCCTGCTTGGGGCCCCTTCAGAACCCAGAGCCCAGGCCTTTCTGTGGTCACGGCCTCAGGCCTCCAAGGAGGGAGGGGATGCTGTCTTCGAGGCCCCCGGCAATCCTCTGGCCTCTGCCGTCTCTGTCTCTGCCCCTGAGCGGGGTCTGCAGAGCACCTGCTGCAGGACCCCGGCTCCCGGCCCGGTGTGAGGACCCCGGTCGGCACGGCCCGCTCAGGACAGCGAGGTGCAGCGGGAGCCGCCGAGAAGCGGGGCACGAACCGTCTGGCCGGAGCCGCGCAGGTGCCACCCGTGGTCACCAGAAACGCCTGCTTCTGTCTCCCTGTCCCCTGGGGCGGACCTCTCTGACCCACGCGGGGGGCACTGAGAGGGACAGGGTGGGCTCAGAATTCCTGGGGAGCAGCCCGCGGGCAGGTGCCGCCCTGGGGACAGAACCGCTGTCCCTCGGGGAGCCCCGGGCACAGCCCCCCTGTTGGAACAAGGCTGCTTCTCTGACTCGGGGTTAGCGTCCTGTGTGCACCCGACTCGGCATATTTCCACAGGAGATGAGCCCTGGCCGCCCGGACTGGGGTGGGGACCGGGGTGTGACAGGACACGGTTGTTCTGTGCATGAATTCATGAGGGAGCCCAGTCAGAGGAAGGGTCAAAGTCCAGCCCTTTATGGGCCACCAGGAACCCCAATCGATTTGCCCACATGTCCTGTGTGTGCACGGGTTTATCGTGTTTGGCCGCACAGAGAGAGGACGCACATCCTTGACGGTGCTGACTTTTGGGAGGAGGCGCCGCTCGAACTTCTGCTTGAATCAACCCCAGGATCCGTAGGATCGCTTTGGATGAGCACAGAATACTTTCCAGTCATGAGATGACCCACTGAGCAGAGGCGACGTGCCCACACCAAGTCCAGGGCACGGTAGACATTGTTCTCAGCCACGCGTGGGAGAGCACGTAGCTGGTCCTCCCTCCGTCTCCACTACTCTGCCCGGCAGCTCGGGGGTCTCAGCCACCTGGTGAGGGGGGATGGGACAGGGCCACGGAAGCCAGCTGCTGTGGACACAGCCAGGAGTTTCCTCTCGGTCAGGAAGGCCCCGGCCGGACTTTGACTCCCCGTGGACATCGATGGGGTCGCACCATGGGCGTCTATGTCCCTGGGCCCATCCGTGACCCCAGGAGGAGCCCCCAAGAGGGGCAGCTGGGGAGAGACATGGGCTCCATCCTGGGTCCTGGGAAGGCCGGGCTGATCCCAGGTGTGCTTGGTCGAGAATAATCGTCGTGGTCGTGAGAGTGGCTCACTGGCATGGGAAGGCCTCGGTCTCCTGAAACCCTAGCACTCGTTCTGGGAGGGCAGCACGGCTATTATGTCCCTGTCCCAGAGGGAAGGCCGAAGGCAGGGAGGTCATGTGACTGCTCCCGTCCGCACGCTCACGGGTCGGAGGACCTGGTCTCATGCCTCCCGGACCCCCTCGTCCAGGCTGCCGACCGCCCTGCTGCACCTGACCTCCCGGTCTGACCCCAGCACATTGCCTGTGCGTCAGACTCACACACAAACACTGAAATAAGAAGGCTCTAGAAGGACACAAGAGAGAATTAGGAGCACACTTAGATGTGGGGGGTGATCTTTTGATGCCAGAGGGAAACCAGTACGCCTTAAATGATCCATCTGTTTAACTTCATGAGGACAATAGCAGGGCTAATAGTCCAGAGATAATGGTGAAAGGCAAACTGGAAACTATATTATTTTTTTGGAAAACAGGCTAATCTTATTAATACAGGTCTAGCTCCTATATGCTAATAAGAAAAACAGAATCATGGGCAGAGGACATGAGCGGACAGCTCACAGCGGCCAGAAAAGGAGATTAACAGTCATGGGACATGGAGACCCGGTTCATGTACAGGAGAAATGTTCATTCCAATCCAATGTGATATAATTTTCTCTTATCAGTGTTGCAAAGGGCAGAAAGTTCGGTCACCGTGGGTTGGTGGGAAACCTAAGCATTGTTGGGAGGAGAAG